AGATGATAAAAAACAGCACCTTGAGGATTTGTCTTGACACATTTCTCCCCTTTTCCCTCATCCAGTCTTTTTTTCCTCTCCGCTCCTCTCACGGACCGCACAATTGCACTCCAGAGAGGTGAATGGCTGCCCGTCTCCCTGCAGCAAGCCTCCATTGATCTGCACTCAGGACTGAAGCTCAGCAACATGGCAGGAGGCCAGGGGGGCTTTGTAGCCAAGCTCTAATGCAAGCTCAGACAGCATATGCACTATACCGAGGCCGAAACCTTAAAAACGTCCGATACGGGCTTTCCCTAACAGGAGATCGGCCCCATTTTCTCCTCCCTGAACGTGAACCAGGACGCAGCAGCAGTTGTTCAGTCAGGCATGTCGGCAAACTATGAAACGTAACCCAACTGTGCAATAAACATGCAAAATCGTTACCGAGGCCATCAAAAAGGCCAGGTTGATCCACAGCTAAGTGGCAACTTGCCGAGGCGGCAGTAAACATGGTGACATTTGCATGTTCATTAGCCATTCAAAAGGGCAAAGCAGGGGGGAGTGTCCTCAGGAGGCCAATCCAACGGAGGAGGGAAAGAAAAGCACAGAGAGCCACAGGAGAAGTCACAAACGCTTGCCAGGAAAGAAAGTTTTATTTTCCCCCCGCARCATTTCAGTAGTCACTTCTGTGTACGACAACACTTGAACATGGTGGTAAAAAAAGCAACCATAACGTCATTTCTCAAAGCTTTAACATCTACAATAACACAGAACATCTGCAGAAAGCATAAAACAGCCAGCGAGACATCGTCAAGTCTGCATGAAACTGATGTCGAATGGATAATAAAAAGCACAGCTTCTGATTTTCTGGAAAAACACTCAGTTTAACACATTGCCTAATATTTATTTTACACGTTTTTTGCAGCGGAGAAAACCACAACCAGAAGTGAGTTTTGTCAAAAGCTTGCAAAAGATAAAATACAGAGAAGCAGCCAGAAAAGACTGACAGATCAACCAAAMCATGCTATCTATGCTAGGTTATCCCTTATATGGGCATGGGGGAAATTGAACCTGCAACTATCTGATCCCAAATCATCTGTCCTACCGCAGCGACACATACACTATAACATGCATAACACTGGAAATAATGACTTTTATTACAAATCAAACTCTCAGTGGATCTGAACCCTTCATTAGGAAATTAATTGGAAATGAGGGAAACAACTAAAACCTGCAGGATTAGAGGCCCTCAAGGACCAAAACTGAGGACCCCTGCTCTATATTTTAAAAATAAATCAAATGTGTTTCCATAATGATAAAATGTAGCATTTATGATAACCAGCTGGTAAGAATGAAGAACAAACTAGTTAAATTAAACTAAACATCCTGCAAAGCTCTGGTCAAGTTGTGTTTTTCTGATCACCACATGAGAAACTTAAAAAAAACTTCGCAGTAAAACTAAAGTAAAAATAATTAACTACAGTCCTAGTTTAAGTTGTTCAGAAATCCTGTTTGACAGGCTGTTAAATACTGTATATGTAGCTCAAAATCAGTARGTTCAATGCAATAAATCAGAGCGGTATTTGAGGGCGGGGCTTCTTACATAGCTACAAGTTTTAATATCTGTGTTGTTGTGATGAAACTCTAAACTGGTAAGGTTTAATAATAATTATTAATCTGTTTTAAATAGCTCTCTGAATGTCAGTTTGAATAAGCTTAATTCTGACTGGACTGACGAGTTAACAGTCGAGCTAACAGGGAGCTGTCATCTTAAAGGGATCCATGATTAGTTGTAACATTAAACTTTATTTGATAAACGTATATTTTAACTGTAAAATAAAGACTGTAAAAATAATGTAGGCTGTTTAGATTTGTATTTTTTTWAAATATATTTTAACATGGACGGAGCCATTTTATTTACACGCAAAGCATTCTGGGTAAATGATGACATCAACTAGGGCTGTGTCCAAAACGGCAGGACGGGTCCTCCGAAGGTCGAATTCGTCGGCCGCATACGTCACAGCGCCGCGACGAAGGAAGTCCAAAACCGAAGACTCCTCCGATGCGGCCGACAAATTCGTCCTTCCTTTGGCCCGAATCGAAGGACAGGTCTGATGGATCCTTCCCGGCCCAGCATATCCCATAATGCATTGCGGCCCGACCGGAGATTTTTTTAAGCTAGTAATGGCGGACGAAGCGAGAGAAAAGAATACATTTTAAATAAAAATATGGTGATATAAAAATTTAAAAAATTAGCGGTTGTAATTCTAATACTTTTATCATTTGTATGGACATGTTTTTAAATATTTGTTTTCGTCATAAAAAACGCGAAATAAACATGCACCTACAGCGGGTCAATTAGTTCTTCAAATGATACTTTTAATTGTATAGTTTTGTGATATTAATAATGCTAATGTATTGATATTTTTCTAATTTTGATTTAAGTTTGCTTGTTTAGCGTCGTCACAGTTGCTAGGTGACATGACGTACGCCGGGGTAAGGAGGGGAGGCTAGACCGTCCAAATTCACAGCCTCTTTTTTTCCGGTCTTCCCGGTCTACCAAGGACCCGGCCCACTGAGACCGGGTAGTCTGGGTCCTCCGGAGGACCCGGCCTGCCGTTTTGGACACATCCTAGGTCATCGGTGCGAGGCTGCTAGCGAGCTATATCCACCCTGAAGGTTAATCTTGGACAATATCTGATGATCGACTCTTTTAAATGAAACCAGAGAGCGTTGACAGAGAGGAGAAGGTAGAAATGACTCAGCCTGTAACTGAAAATATGGATGGAGGACAACAGAGCTGCTTCATGGAAGAAGAACCTCAGTTTAGCCTGTTAGCCTTTGCACTAGCACCTACGCTATATTGCCTTATATGTATTAGCTCAGTGCTAGTGCAACAAACAAGCTAAACTGAGGTCCTCCATCCATATTTTCAGTTACAGGCTGAGTCATTTCTACCTTCTCCTCTCTGTCAACGCTCTCTGGTTTCATTTAAAAGAGTCGATCATCAGATATTGTCCAAGATTAACCTTCAGGGTGGATATAGCTCGCTAGCAGCCTCGCACCGATGACCTATCCACGTCATCATTTACCCAGAATGCTTTGCGTGTAAATAAAATGGCCCCGTCCATGTAATATATTTAACTTTTAGTTTAAAAATTATAAAAACTGAACATCCTACAGTATTTTTAGTCTTTATTTTATAGTTAAAATATATGTTTATCATATAAAGTCTAATGTTACAACTAAGCGGGGATCCCTTAAAAACCAACTCCCAAATCTCAAAAATTCTACATACAAACGCCAGTTTATAAATATTTACATCATCATTCATTATGTCCAAGAGGGTCATTGAAGAAAATACAATATTGTTTCTAGAAATATAATAAAAAAAAGTGCTACAAGCTAGCTGCATTTGCATGCAAATTACCGTGGAATACTTTGAAAATAACACAGTAAATGCAAATTGATTTAACTTTAAACCAACCTCTGTTATATTTCAGATTGGAGCAATCCAGTCTTTGGTCAGAAAAAAACTGTTTTTCCAAACTGAGGACACTCAAAGAGTTATCTGCAACAGGTAAGATATTGTTTATAATCTTTCTCCAGATCTGAATTGCTGCTTTTAAAACTCAGAATAAAACATTTTAGCTTTTATTTTAAATGTGATCCTCATCCAGGATGTGGGTGAACTAAAAATGGAAGTTCACCTATTTTCTTTTTTTTTTATTACCTATTTTTCGGTGAGCTGTTCTCTGATCTGTCCCGACTCTTCACACCATCATTAATGAGCTGCTCTATGCAAAGTGAGCAGCAGTAGTGTGTCAAACAGAAAGGAGGGCATTGGGTTACACACACACACAGACACACACACACACCTCTCCTGCCTAGATCACCTTACACCCTAAAAGAAAACACAACCGAGTCCCCTCTAATGAGGTGCACATTTTCCACCCCGGCATCAATCCTACAAAATAAAGCCACTTCCTTCTTTGAATATTTAGCATCTGGGCTGTTTTCCTTTCAAGTGTTTCATCTACTTTGCATCCGTTGTCATGGAGGCCACTTTGTTTCACAGCTTGTGAAAGATGCAGCTGGGACGACGGGATGTCAACAACTCAGGAAAACACACGAGAATTGTGGGGAATTGGTGACTTTTTAGTTAAACAGTTGGTGACAAATTGTGAACGGTATTCTCCAGAAAAAGGTTTTGGAACTTTTGTCTATGCATTAAATAAATAAATAAATAAAAGCCAGTCTCAAACCCTTAATCCCCCAAGAAAGTTTGTGCAAACGCATCGCTCATGATTCCGACTGAAAAATTGCACATTTTGTCGCAATTTTTCAGCTATTTTACCCCACAGATATTATTACAGATAGATCAGTCGTTCTCCAATATTTGGGCCTTTTTATTACATTTCTTTCTAAAGACCTTTTCTGAGTTTTTGGTTCTTGATTTTGGGGAATAATTAAGAAATGCTGCGAATACCAATATACACAAAACGTCACAGATAGTGTCACAGTTCTGACAGAACTGTGTAAATGTAGTGTTTTTTTATTTAAACTTTTTCTCCAGGTTAGGCCAACCTTTTTTAAGTGGGGCCCAGCAGGCCATTTGGATGGGGAACAGTTTGGGCATCACTACTTTGTTGACTTGCTGTTTTTTTGTTTTGTTTTTGGAACCAGAGTCTGTGCACTGGTAATGTGGGGCTTTAAGTCCCGCCTACTTTTCCTTACACAAGCACACAATCCCATGTGCTTTTCTAATCTTAATAAAAGATGAATATTTGAATATTCAGCAGTAAAGGAATAACTACGGGAATTAAAAGTGTTTTGATTGTGATGCGTTTTAATTTTCTGACACGGACAATTTCCTGTGCGTTTACGTGAAGGGGGCGGGACTTAAAACTTTCACAGCAACTGTGAACGTAGTCATGTTCTGGCTTCAACTTCTAGGTTCCGGTCTAAATTTTTATTTTTTATTTTTATTTTAATTAAAAAGGGGGAGTATGAAGCCTCACCTTGAACACCTCGGAGAAGAACCCCGCTCCAATCTTCTCGCAGCTGAAGTCGTCCAGGCGGGCCAGCGTGGACACGGCGCTGCGCAGGGCCCTGTAGGACGACGGCCGGACGCGGTTGGTCCCGTGCACGCTGTGCATGGGCGGCTCCGCCTCTCCCTCTTGCTCCGACGCGACCCTCTCCGTCTCCATCTCGGATGGCCCGGGAGGAAGGAGGAGGAGGAGGAGGAGGTGGGACGTGGTTGAAAATCCAGCTTGTGTTTACATCTCTGCCCTACATACGCCCACTCCGTTTGCTGCTGCTTCCTCTCCTCTCTCTCTGTCTGTTTCCTGCAGTGGGCTGTGGAGGGGGGGCTGTGGGTGGGGAGTGGGGGTGCCCTTCCTCCCTGGTTCCACCAATTGGATCCCGGGTTTCCAGCATGCAGCACAGCCGCCTCTGTGGCGCTGCTGCAACCTGTGAAAGCTGGAAAAAAATAAAAGAGTCAAGAAAAAGGTGGGCGGGTACGGAGGCGTTAATTCACTAACATAAGATGATGAGAGCGATCTGTCACTGCAAAAAAATAAAATAAAATCAGTAACAATAAAACGCCTCCCGCTGATCCCTGTTGAGTGATGGCTGTAATGATTTATGCTGGCTCCGAAATCATCACGTTTCAGCACAAACTTAATCCGAATACGAGAGAAAACCGAGGCCGACAGGCGCTGATAAGAGGACGCAGGAAGATATCGCGCGTACTTTGCACGTTCAATAATGAAGCGAGAAAAAAAGAAGAAGAAGGAGAAGAAGAAGGGTGGGGGGGACCCTCTGCGTTTCTGCCGCTGTAAATAATGGACGCCAGAACTGGGCAGAGTTTGTTGGTGGGCTCGTCCTTCACGCACACCACGCAGCAGAGGAAAACGCTGACGCACGAACCCCGCCGAAGAAAAAAAAAAAAGGGAGCAAAGCTTTTCAGACACGCGTGGCTGCCCCCGCCGCAAACACACAATCACACACAGAGGTGTACTCACCTGGCCCCCCCTGGGTTGTTTTTATATATATATGTTTGTGTATCTTCAACGCGACCTCTGCGGAGGAGACCCGATGAGTGCTAATCCGCTGCAGCGTCCGGTTACCGGCAGCTTTAATTTCACTAATTTATAACGTCAGCGCGCCGCCTGCACGCGCAGCACGCACGGTGGGTCGACGCAGGCTCCGGTGGTTTCGGTTTACGTCCCCGCTGCTGCTCCTCCTGCCTGCCTCGGTGTGAAGGAGACGGACTGATGGTGGCGACAAGCGGCGATTACTTTTGCTGTGCTTTAATGGAGGAGGGGGGGCGGGGCCTGTCGTCACGTGATCATCACAAAAGGCATAAATAAATAAATAAATAAATAAATAAATAAATAAATAAATAAATAAATAAATAACCTGTTGGGTGGTTTGGATGGTTCTTCTCTTCGATGTAAAAAATAAATAAATACAAGTCATGGTTTTAAGAAAAAATACTTCATATTTTAAGTTGGTAAAAAAACAAGTGATATTTTACCATATTTATGAATAATGGACCACCTTTAAGTCCAAATTTGGAGGAATAAATATTGACATTTGTATTAGCAACAACATAAGTAATTTTGAGAACCACCTCATCAGCATTTTAGCATCACAGATTTTGAAATGCAAAATTTTAATTTTAACAAAGTATCTTAGTTTTAGGAAATATGAGAAACTATGTTAATWTAATGAGTTAACTATGTCATCGTTTTTAGAAACCATCTAATTAGCATGTTAGCATTCAGTAACTGTGAGGTAGCCTTCGAAGCTTTTATTTTTGAAGAAGTATCTCATATTAGCATTTTGGTATTCAGTAATTTTAAATCACAATTTTTAGATAGTGTTTTGTACGGAGCCCGCTAGGTGTCATGGGAGAAATGAATAAATAAAAACGGATCCTGACTTTGGTTCTCAGGATACTGAGAGCCAAAGTCAGGATCCTGAGAGCCAAAGTCAGGATCCTGAGATCCAAAGTCAGGATCCTGAGAGCCAAAGTCAGGATCCTGAGAACCAAAGTCGGGATCCTGAGAACCAAAGTTGAGATCCTGAGGACCAAAGTCGGGATCCTGAGGACCAAAGTCAGGATCCTGAGGACCAAAGTCGGGATCCTGAGAACCAAAGTCGGGATCCTGAGAACCAAAGTCGGGATCCTGAGAACCTGAGAACCAAAGTCGGGATCCTGAGAACCAAAGTCGGGATCCTGAGGACCAAAGTCGGGATCCTGAGAGCCAAAGTCAGGATCCTGAGAACCAAAGTCAGGATCCTGAGAGCCAAAGTCAGGATCCTGAGGACCAAAGTCAGGATCCTGAGGACCAAAGTCAGGATCCTGAGGACCAAAGTCGGGATCCTGAGAACCAAAGTTAGGATCCTGAGAACCAAATTCAGGATCCTGAGGACCAAAGTCAGGATCCTGAGAACCAAAGTCAGGATCCTGAGAACCAAAGTCGAGATCTGTTGTTAATTTTTTCCCTCCCATGTCCCCTCGCGGGCTCCGTAGTTTTGCCATTTTAAGAAGCTAATTATAAATTTTGAGAAAGTTTCCTTATTTTATTTTTGCATTTTAGCACAAATATGAGAAGCTAAGCCAAAATTAGGAAAGATATCACAATTTTAAGAAGCTAATGCTAGCATCTTATAACCATAACCACTTAGCTAAGTCATCATTAGCATGTTAGCATCCAATAACTGTGCGGTAGCCTACTAAGCTGTTATTTTGAAGAAGTGTCTCATATTAGCATTTTGGCATTCAGTAATTTTAAATCACAATTTTGAGATAGTGTTTTGCCGTTTTAAGAAGCTAATTATAAATTTTGCGTAAGTTTCCTTAGAAGAAGCTATCATTAGCATTTTAGCACAAATATGAAAAGCTAAGCCAAAATTAGAAAGGCACATTATAATTTTAAGAAGCTATAATGCTAGCATCTTATAACCATAACCACTTAGCTAGTCATATTAGCATGTTAACATCCAATAACTGTGGGTTACTGAACCATCATTTCTGAAGAAGTATCT